CCCCCCCCCCCTCGCGCCGCGTGTGCAGACACACCAAGATTCTCTCTGCCCCTCCCTACGCCATGATGCCATCCACCCACCTACCCCCCAGCAGCGCAAGAGCGACAAACACGCAAGGTATCCATCCGCAGCCAGCCGCCAAGACGCCGTTAGTTATCGCACCCCACAGCAGCAGCAATGTGTCTTCTCTGAAAAACCAGCTACAGCAACGGAGCTACTGGCAGCGGCAGCGGCGGCCTTGTGCTAGTAGCACACAACACAAACGAACACACACAGAAAAAGAAGCCAAGATACTTTCCAAAGAGGGAGAGAAAGAGACGCCCGTGCTGCTGCCGTCCGAAGCGCCAGTTTAGGCCGCACGAACAAGAGCGCACCAAGCCCCCCCCCACCCCGGACTCTTCGAAGAACGCCCCACATACAGCAGGTTGTGGGCGACAAGGCCGGGCAAAGACTAATTCCACCGCTATGACCACGACCACGGAAGGCCACCGCACGAGAGCGGAGACTGTTGACTGGATATCAAACGGTATCGTCATGGAATGCCCAGATGGTCGTCTTGGGAGAGCCGCGACCAATCTTCCTCACGTACGCGTCGTTGTCCGGTGGTTTTTCCTGCGCGCGCGCGTGCGTGTGTGTGGTGCGCCGGGCGTTTTTCGTGGGTGAATGTTCGACTGTCATGGCCAGCACCGACCGAGCGGGGGTTCGTAAAAGCGCGAAGAGAGAGAGGGAAATACAGAGAGACAAGACAGCCAGAGCGAGACGGGGAGGGAGGGAGAGAGAGAGGATGGCCGAAAAACCGACGCAGCGAACCCGAGCTCATATCCGCTAAATTCTGAGAACATGAAGATCTTCGGCAAGTATCAGCCTGGCTGCTCAAAAGAAATAAATCAAGTTTGTTGTCGGTTCTGGCATGATAAACGCTCGCTGTGGTCGGGGCACAGCGAGAGCGAGTCGGTTTTGTCAGCAAGCAGCTGTACTAGACAATAGCTCCCAAAAACCAACTCACCTTGGCTGTGCAGCTGGAGAGCATAGACAGAATGCTGAGACATACGCTCTGGATGGTCAGCGCTGGGCTCCACTCATCATATAAGATCGACAAGCAGATGTGTCCGTTCGTATAAATGTGCGGGTGTAGCGGCGCCGTCTGCGTACCAAAAAACGCCGGAGGAGAGGGGGGACGGGGAGACAAAGGGGGGGCATGGTCACCATTTTCATACAACGAGGTTTACAGTAAATCTTCCTACCTAACCAATTTTCGGCCAGTTCACGACTGGGGGTGGAGGGGCGACGCCGTCTGCAAGGTAGGAAGACCGGACAGGGCGGGGGGGGGGCGGTCATCACGGGTTTTTCGTTGCCCCTCTTTTCATGCGTGCGTGTAATGGGAACACCAGAGAGAGCGATACCCTTGGACACTCGCTCGTCGCCAAACCATCGTGCAAATCATGATTTTCGCTAGAGCAGTATCAGTCGTAGCTTACGGCTATGATGACCCAGTGCTCCACAAGAGAACCGGAACACACCCCCTTCAGATGACATCGCACCAATTAACTATTGTGTATCATTTGGGTTTCCATCTACCACACAACCGTGAGCAACACATCTGTCCGAGAAAAAAAAAAAATGCCACGTTTTCCTTCTGAAGCGGTCGGACTACCTCTTACCTGGTCTCTGGTCGTAGATACAGTAGATGTGAAGCGGTTGGACTACCTACTACTTGGTCTCTGTCGTAGATACAGTAGATGTGAAGTGTAATAGATATCGTAGACGTCAAGACTCACCGGAACGAAGACGACTTCGGGAGCCTCAATGGGATAGTTTGCCGGGAACCTTATCCTGATGCGGTACGTCTCGCCCGCATACACGGTGTCCGCTGCACCTGGAGCGATCGATTCGTTCGTTCGATGCCAGAACAAGAGGGGTTAACGTAACAAGCTCATGTCTACATTTGGAGCACCAGCGAAGACGGGCAAACATGCAACAAAAAAGCGATCCGTACGGAGCGGGCTATGAGAGCACAGCAGTGTCATCAAGGGGAGACGCATTGATGAAAATGAAAGCAAGCAGCAGGACCAACACGCAGCTGAATGCCACGTTAGTCATGCTTCCCTGATCAAACAGCTGACGTGCTGTTGACATGCACAGCCAGCGAACCCCCAACGAACCAACAACACAATTCTGCAACAGTCAGTTGTACAAAAAGGAGGGACCTTCGATGTCGAACAAGATACTCCACGTGAGATATTCTACCAAACTACTCCTGGGTCTCTTGATAAGACCCGGCGCCGTTCTGGAGTAGACAAGGGTCGTTTTTTTTTATTGAGCTCATCTCGCGAGCATCAGGAACGTCAAGGTTTTGCATGCCAGTTCAGAGAGAGCATCTTGCGAAGATAAATGGCTTCTCGAGGGAGAGCTTTCGTACGACCCTGCACCCCGTAGGCATTGTCAACAAACCCTTGTGCTGCCTAGATGTGGACGTCGCAAGTCGAGACCCTAACGCGCGCATGCACATCGGAAAAGCTGGTGGAAGTTGGTCAATCAGTAGCACATGACCTTTGAACACATCGCCAGCTCCCATCGACAGAAAACGAGCTGGCTCGAACTGTGTGTGTGTTAACTAGCATCGACCGCCCTAACCGGCTGACCAATGAAAAGACGTCAGTCTTAGTGCGGTTGAAAACAGAAAACGCTTCTATCTGCCGTGAACTGGGACCCCGTGAAGGGGCAGCATGGGGGAGGCTAGACTTATCCTTCGGATCAAAGACAGAAACGGTGGCAACAGAAGAAAATTGCACGCGTCTACGAAGGCTATTACCTTATACTCGAGTTCGTTGAGGAGTACTTTCACCATTGTCCCCTTTGTTGCTACCATCATTCTGATCTTCATTTTGACAACAGACTCTTGCCAGTTCTTCCCTAGCCTTGCGTTTTTTGTTGTAAGGAAGGTCATCCGGCTCAAACCCTTTGCACTCTTCCACTCCTCCATGTTTTCCTCCTTCATCATCGTCTTAGCTCCTTTCTTCCCTTTCCCTTCCTTCGTCTCCGTCACTCCCAAAAGAATTACCCTCAGAGAGAGAGAGAGAGGGGGAGAGAGAGAGAGAGAGAGAGAGAGAGAGAGAGNNAGAGAGAGAGAGAGAGAGAGAGAGAGAGAGAGAGAGAGAGAGAGAAAGAGAGAGAGAGAGAGAGAGAGAGACCGCTTTTGCTCTCCACGAGCAGATGACACGTCGTTGCACGGAAGGGAGGTGGTGGGGAAAAGGCGATCAATAACACTTTGTTTCTTGCGCTGGGATGCCAACAGCACTCAGCACCGAGACTCTTATAGGCAGGTACATAAACCGCCATCAATTGTCCATGCGAGGCAGCCCGCACAGCACCCTTGCGCACGGGTGTCTGGACGGTTTGCTACTCCCAGGATATCACGTGTTCCCCCCAACCAACAGCAGGAGCCTTAACCAGTAGCCTTCGCGACGACACGTTGAGCTTGGTTTTAGGTAGGGTGGTTTTTTGGGGGGGGGTTAGGGTTAGGGTTAGGGTAAGGGTTAAGGATAGGGATACGGAACCCCCCACTATTTCATGAACTCTAATTGGCAATAGTTGTACTAAATAAAAAAGTCCTCGCGAAGGCGGTTGGTCTTTTAACAAAATGGAGACCAAGGTAGCCTCTTTCCCACGCCTTGTGTGGCCTCTTTTCAAGGAGTGCCGCGCTCCATGTGTTCCGCCGCGCTTTTTTGAGAACCATTCCGAGGACTGGAGCCTGATAAACTCCGAGAAATCACAAGAACACATGCCCTTTCGACTGAGGTCATATCTAGAACGGGTAGTCTTTCTGTGGGGTCATGCTTACTCTGTAGAAATGAACCAACAGATTAAAATTGAAGTGTCGAGCCTGCCCCCACGATTCTCTTTTGTCTGGCTAGTACAAGCATAGCTAGCGCAGCGTGGAAGCAACGAATGCGGTGCAGCAGCGCACCCGGGTTTCTTGCCGCAGGAGCAGCCGAAGCTCAACGCCACCGTGAAGATATATAAAAAGTAGGTGACACATCAGACACGTACCACATGCTAATAAAAGGGAGGTGTGGTCTGGGATTTCCTGCGCGTTGGGCGGGCATCCTGAACCATTATGCTGCGTGCGCATGAGAGGGAGAGAGGGGATCCTTAATCTTCGCGTCGAGGGGGGAAGGGCGCAATTCTGACGTTGTGCGCGTTCGTTCTACATGCGCAGCCAAGCGCTTTTTCTTCGGGTGTACAAACACGGCCGCAGTCTGCCGCACTGGTGTGCCTGCCTTCTATTTCGAGGAGGATGTGTATTTATGTACACCAGACAGCATGATGAACCTATGACTCTGGCGCTGGGGATAAAAAACAACCTTACTCCAGGACTGGGGATTGAACGTCCCTGATAGCGAAGACGCGCACGGCGATGGATTGCGTCGTGTATTTATTTCTCCTTAATTTATTCTCAGCGGCAGGCGCAGAGGCGGCAAGAGGCACACATCATGGAAGCGGATAAACTGAGATCTGTGCATGACCTGTATTACGTAACCAGAGCGCGGCAATCGTTTTTCGCAATCTAACTTCGGATCATTCCCCCGATGAAGGGTGTGGAGCGCTCTGCGTCAACGCTGACAGTCGCCGCAAAAAGGCACCGCACAACCGGTGGTATGGAGAGTATGCTTGTAAGAGCCACAAGCAGGTGGATGATGCATCTGATATTTTCGCTTGAAGCAGCCATTTCAACTTCGAGCTCAAGCGCTCAACTTCACCTCTCAAAAACAAACCAAACCAAAGGAGGGCGAATCCCCGCACCACCTACTGCACGCCATTTTCTCTGTTGTCAGCGTGCCCATCATCCGGCGAGCGGGCTCCGCATACAACTCCCGCTCTCTCTCTCCCTCTCCCTCTCCCTCTCCCTCTCCCTCTCCCTCTCCCTCTTCCCCTCCCTCTCCTTCTTTCCCTTACTCACCTCGCCTCATGCTCTCGGTCCTGACGTAACGCAACGCGATCGGAAAATATCCCCACCCACCAACAACAGGGCGCTGCTGCGGATCGCTTGCAGCTACTTCCTGTTCGTCCTCTCCCTGAACGTCTTCGCCACCGGCTACAACTACGTCGACTACCGCTTCGGCTGGACCCCCTCGGAGATCTCCTACTTCTTCGCCACATACAACATCCTCATGGCCCTCGCCGGGGGATGGGTCATTCGCTTCATCGTCCCCAATCGGCTTACCGAGGAGCATGGGGCGCTCTTCGGCATCTCCGTGCAGGTTCTTTTTTTATTTTATTTACGGAGGGGGGAGGGGTGTACTCATAGTCGTGCATGCCGTAGTCGTTAGACCATTGACCTCGCATCCCTACAAAGCCGGGACGGAGCACGCCGGGTTCTCACCGGACCAGGCTC